TCCACAGGGAGAGAAAGAGAAAAAAAGAGATAGGAGAAACACAAAGGCAGAGGGATATGTCAGAAAGGCAGGTTGAATAGAGATCGCTGGCTCCTCAAGGTGCAGGAGAAGGAGAGACTCTCCTTGCCCTCAGGTCCTGAAAGCTGATCGCTTCGTTTTTTGAAAGAGTGTCTTTGTGAGGACGCCTCTGACTGCTCCTCTGAAGAGCGCTCACTGTCTGTTATGACTAAGAAAGAGTGACCGAGTTTTCATCACCCAAAGAAGATAAAGCGCAGGCTTGAAAGGAGGGAAAATGCCGTAGTTTGAACTTAATTCTCTTTTTTCTGATTATAAGAGAGGCAATTGTTCTGCCTGGGCAGGCCTAGTTATTGTGCGCCGTGTGCTGGGTGTTATATTCCTGGGGTTTTTGGACGGCTATTGTAGCGCAAGTTTGCTCTCATGCTTTCAGTCCCGAGTGGATTGGATACTTTGTTGTGTAGGCTACAGAATAGCTTGCCTATCAGGCTTTGCATGCGGGTCACTCAAGGTGGGCTGCAGTGGGTGGGTGTGTGGGTAGATGTGGTTTTATTTGGCGGCAGCGTAGGGAGCATCCTCGGCTGTTCAAAGCCTGGCGTGTAGGTTTTTGCCACTCAGAGGAAAACTTAGCTGGGTTTTAGTTGGCTCACGTGTGGGTAGCTATCATTGTATCATTAGCTTTTGTGCACTCCTATTTTTTGCAGATGGCTGAGTGGACGATTTTGTCTTGAACAGAAGTTCCCTTTTTCCCCTCCACTCACGCGGTGCAACCAATTCAGCCAGCAGAATCCCCACCACACGGACAAAACTACTCATTAACTCCCACAACCTTCTCCCTCCACCCTAGTTGCCCCCTTTCCTCCAAACGTGCTTCAGCTTAGAGACAACAGGAATGGCGATGGGGCGGGGGAGAGACTGACAAAAGGGAAAAAAAGACTAAAGCCCGAGAGGAGGATTGAATGAGTGAAAGAGCTGCTGGGGGAGAAAAGGGGGAAGAATGCGATGTCCTGGTCTATGAGGGATTCCATTTTTTGCCTTTCCAGAATAGAACAGTAAGTCACCAGTCTCTTTGTCTGCCTTTGATCTCTCAGCTCAGGGATTTGGCACCTGACAAACCCCTCTCTGTCTGAAAGGAGGCCTGCCGAGCGAAAGCCTAGGAGAGTGGGAGAGAGAGATAGAGGGCGAATGAGAGAGAGAAAAAAATAATACAGGAGAGTGAGAGAGCGACGGGGCGAGAAAGGAGACAGTATAAAAAAGACGGTGTGGAAAAATTGGGTTAGACTTTTGAGAGCTGTATGAGAGGATATGATGAGGGCTTCTCAGCTCACATCCCATAAAACTAAATACATGTGTGTTCATGTGTGTCTGTATTTGCGTCTGTATGTGGGTTTGCCAGAGCTGGCTCGGACAGTGATAAATCCAGTAAGTCTTAAGGGAGATTCCTCTCTGAAGCCACGGTCTCTTGGACCACCCACTACTGTGGTCTCGTCCCTCACACACAGACACACTCCTAATAGGAAGCAAATTCCCCGGCTTTACTTGGATATCGACTTCTCTTTTCCCTCCTCTGTTCCTTTCTGTGGGGCAGTCGCTGCTATAAACAAGGCCTCATATGTTGACATCACATATTCAAACACAATTTCTGAAATGTGGAGTTTCAAACCTCAGATGAAGATGCTAGAGCGATGTCTATGGCAGACAGGGATTTAGGATTGGGCAAGGAATTCTGGGACAGCCTGTGGGGACTCTGGGTTCAGCCTGGGACAGCTTAATAATTGACGAGCGAAAAACTCATCAAGCGTGCACAGTTTGAGGTAGCCCTCTTAGACTGTGTCTCTTTAAAGAGGCTCAGGCCCAAAGGCTGTGAAGCATGGGACTCAATTAACTCTCCCTTCAGCTTTTAGCAAGGGGGCATCGTCTCTAACAGCTGGTTGACCCCTCTCTCAACTCTGGACACTTTTCCTGGTCAGCGCACATGTACAAACCCTAACAGCAACTTTGTGTTTTGTCACCTGAAGCGGTCACAGCCTCTTAAACAATACCCACAAATCCCGGTGTCCTTCTGTCTCCAGCGATGAGACTGGGCACTGAAAGATTGCTTTAAAGATAGAGAGATAACACAAAGCGCCTCCCGACTAATCCCCCCCCCCCCCCCCCCCCCCTTTTTTGGCAACCATGAAGAAAAGGAACGGAGGCTTCACGCACCCCTGCAGGCCACAATCAAAGAGACCCTTAGCTTAGCGTTAGCGAGTGAAGCGGCAGAGATTTAGCCCTGACTGACTGAGTGGGAAAGGGCAAAGAATGGCTCAGCAGGTAGCAGCTAGCCTGGCTCAGTTAACGCCACGCTACCCTAATCCAGCTGCTAGAGAGGAGCGGCTGTGGGGCAAAGAGCCTGACTTTATTACGCCTCTGAGAGAAGGATTTCCCGGTATTTTAGGGGGTTTGTGGATTTCTTTTTCTGTTTGTACGTGTAAGCGTGTCGGGCGGTTGGTGGAATGTGTGTTTTTGTTGGAAGATGGACTTCCTCCACACTGCGGTGTGTGTGTGTGTGTGTGTGTGTGGATAGGCATTGATTTGGTTTCTAGTGTGGTGAACACATGTGGGAGTTTGTTTATGTGACTGCTCTTTTGTATGTAGGATCCCCTGATGTATTTAAGACTGTGGCATCGGAATCCATGCCTCTCAAATGCACTTTTAGATCTGGGTTGTGTATGTGCCTGAGAGGATCGCAAGACTATGTGTGAGTGTGTTTGTGTGTAAGTGGGGGAGTCCAATTTACCCCCGCAGACTATAAGTGTGTAATTATCTGATTTATATTGGGTATGAATTCACCCATCTGTCTCCAATGGGTCTTTTCACATAATAACAAGACAGACACACATGCACATTCACACACCCACTCTACCAAAACCCAAACCACCGACCCTCCGGCCTCAATACCATTCACCGCCCACTGCCAAGCACATGGCAGCCTCATTGACTGACAGGTTATTTGGTCCAATCTGTGTTGTGACTGTCTGCGCCGCACCTCTCAGAGAATTGTTCTTTTGTCCTCCTCTTCTGGTTCAGTGCTCAGAGGGTGAAACGTAACCCTGCTAGGGTTCCCTGGTCATTATAGAAACCGATAGACGAGGGAGAAACTCCTTGAAACACGAGCCCTCCAATCAAACTGTCACTCAAAAGAAAGGCGAGCACTGTCACCAAAAGTAGGAAAAGTGTCACTTAGGTTACCATTTCAGACTAAGGTGTGTGTGTATAGGTGTGTGTGTGTGTGTGTGTGTGTGTGTGTGTGTGTGTTAGGCAGAAACAGCCCTGAGAGAGTGACAGAGCTCCCGGTGTGCCAAGTGTGGTGGCATTTGTTTGTTAAATGGTCTGAAATGCCAATGGCTCTGGTTTCATTGCGGCTCTGAGTCTTGCCAATTGAGCATAGCTTATATTTGTGAGAAAAACCAGAGGTAGTTATTTGATCTTCTCTTTTTTTGTCAGAGGAAATAGTGCCCTTTACTCCTGCTCTGTTGTTTTTGATAATAGAATGCAGGTTTGTGAGAGAGGAGAAAGGGGAGAAAGCACTGAAGATGGAGAGTGAAGACAAAGGGAGAGAGACATACAAGCCTCTGGGCAGTGTATTGTTTTCTTGTTGCTAATTGGGTGAAAATGGGGAAGATCACAGCGTTCTCTTCTTATGTTCCATTGGAAAACAACTATTTTATGTCAAGTGCGACACTATGGCAACATCGTCATAACACCAAAGCACGAAACAGCCACTTACATCAACTTCATGTTTGATACATATTCTGGATGTAAGCAGTGTCCAAATTTCCAGGGATTTTTATTAGAGATATTCATGGTTCCTAGAAGAAGTACTCTCAGGATCCGATCAGTAGGGTTGGCAACCATTTACATTTGAACCGGTGCTTGTACCTGGAACTTTGTACCAGTACTTTTTCCAGGCACTTAACTCTTTCTGTAGTAACAAAATTGTAATTTTTGAACAAGCTGCAGTTAATAAGCAACGGAGCTCCATGGCTGGCTTCCTGGCTTCAGGGCATTTTGCAGTGCTTCCACTTCCTTTCTAAACAGAGCAGCCTGGTGGACCTCCATTTTCACTGCTGCAAAGCACCCCACAGCAAGGAAGCTGGTCACAATGCTCCGCAGGTGGCCTCCCAAGTTCAAGATGCTTTGCAGTGCTTCTGCTTCCTGTCTGAACCCGGCGTGCTCACCCAGATACACTTTTAAGTACCGAAATTTATCACTGATTGATTTAATGTGAATTGGTACTTGGTAGTATTGACGTAATTTGGTTGGTACCCTTAAAAGAACCAAGTTTGTAATGGTTTTCAATGAGAGTGAAGCATTTCCGTCACTGCTTTTGCATGGCTGAGCAGGTCACATTTTCCCACTCTATGAACCTTGCGTTTTTGTAAGAGCGCCCTGAACACCTCAAGTTAAAAAAACTTCAAGTCAGAGCAGAAAAAAATTCTCATTGTCATCTGTGTTTTTCTCACATCGTCCAATTAGGTAAACTGAGATGCCTATTGTAGTGGCAATAACAACAAGTAGCAGTGTGCATAGTTTGTGTGATGCTAACAAGCTACAAGACATATCTGAACAAACTGTCAAGTACTTTGTAGCATTTTATTAACCGTAATTAGGCCCAATGATTAACAACAGTTTGTCAAGTTGTCCCCGACTCATCCTAAAATAAGCCTTGAATTGCATCATCCAGGTAAAGCTCATGTAGCACCAGCTGGTGGTACTCCCTGGGATTTCATCTCTTTCTGAGGGTCTCACGTACCCCCACAGATCTCTGTTCCCCTCCCTCTGCCCGATCAGAGCCTAATGGATATGGTGATTCCCTGACTCCAGCATGTCAGCAGTCTCTAGAACCTTCGTCTCTATAAAAGAACTGTGCATAATATAATTGTTTTTCATGTTGATGTCACATCTAACCAAGCTTACCCTCCTCTGTGTCTGTTATCTTTCAGCCTGCAAGATTGGTTACTACCGCGCTCTGGCCACTGATGGCTCCTGTTCCAAGTGTCCGCTCCACAGCTACTCCGTCAGGGAGGGATCCACCTCCTGCGCCTGCGACAAGGGATACTTCCGCTCTGAAACAGACCCAGCATCCATGCCTTGCACCCGTAAGTACACCCACATGTGAAGTGTATAACATACAGCACATGCACATGACTAGCTGTGATTTTGTAAAGTATGCTGCTGTATACTGTATACAAGTCAACATATTGCTGTGAAAGAGAACACACAGAGTGATTGCCTTTGCCTAAACATGGTCATGGATTCTCTCTTTCTCTCCTTCTTGCAATGTCAACCTGAATTACCCCCTCACACACGCAGAGACAGCCTTTCTGCACACACATAAAGCAGACGGCTGCTGGTTTAATAGGTGTCTTTTGATTCCAGGTGGTACTTAGTGATCAGTCATGGTGACAGAGAACTAATGAGGGTATAAACCGCTGCATCCCAGATTCAGTCTTCCACAGAGAGACTGCAAAACAATAGAGGAGGGCGAGAATGGTAGAGAAAGACAAATAGAGATAAAATGTTAGTGGAGACGCAGGGAGGTGAGGAAGAAGGTGGAAAAACAAGGGCAGACTGAAAGCTGGAGATGTATGCAGTGAATGAATAAGATGTTATGGAGAAAGAGGGTAAGGTACCAAGGAGAAAGAAAGGAGAATTAAATGCAGGAACCTGAGTTTTATTTTTCAGTGTGTGATTGCACTTTGCTCCATTCGGATGTGAGTCAACCGCCAGTGAATCTTGTTCCTCCAATCTCCCCCCCTGACTCACTATGCCTGTGATAACAAATATTGTTAACAATCTCACTGTCTAATGATACCTCTTCCTTTTTTAGACTTCATTCCCTCAGTGAGTCACGGAACTGGGAGTTCATACTGGGAGAAATATACACAAACTTAAAACAAACAGAAAAAAAACCCCGCATAACACACAAAGCCCTACGTGCTCGTTTCCCAGGACAATCACGGCGCTCATACTTATACATGACAGACATTCGTGTGTGAGTGAGTATGTGTCATAAAGCAATTTTAACAACCAAAACATCTGTTAAGTTGCTTAGCTCATAGTTGGCTCGCCGTTTGGCCCCAATGATCTGTCAAGTTCCTGTGGATTCATCACTCAGCAAAACAGTTTATTGAATCAGACGAGCAGCCGAGCCCCTCCTGCATAACACTTAACTGTCTAGGCAGCAACAAAACTGAACGGCCTCTAATTATTCCCCCGCTGCACGGCCTCTATGCAACATCATAAACAATGTCTATTGTGGAATATTTTCATCATCAGGAATATGAGTCCTACTTGAACAAGATGGTAATCTGCAACACCACTGATTGTTAAATTTTGGCTGCATCTTTGGTGCTAAGTGCTGATTGCAAGGTTATTTTTGCACAGTGTAACTAAAGTCTAAAATAGTTCACCTTGGCCAGCAAATAAAAACACTTTAATTAATCTGTTGTAACTCATTGGACTTGTGTCTTATAAACTGGCAATATAAAGCAGCAAAATGAGCATTGTTTTACATGAGAACACACTAAAACAACATTGTAGATTTGCAACAATTAGTAGACTTATAAATTAGACAGAAAATGAATCAGTCAATTAAATTAAATTAAATTATTAATTAAAGTCAGTTTTAATAATAATAATAATAATAATAATACATTTTATTTATATAGCGCTTTTACAGCTCTCAAAGACGCTTTACATTTAAAACAAAGAAAAGAAGTACATACCAAAAAGGGGGGGTACATGAATTCCAAATATTTAATGGCTCTGGCTTTTCAAATGTATGGAATTGCAGCTTTTTGGTTTTACATTAAAAAAAAAGTAACGTATTTGGCTTTTCAACCGTTTGTTGGGCAAAGTCAGACATTTGATGACATCACCTCAGACTGTAAGAAGTTGTGATGGGCATGTTTTGCAATTCTAATATTTAATTGAAAAAATGTTTGTATTGTTTGACCTTACGTACAATTTTTACCTATTTATATCCCTCTGTGTGGGCAACAGCCATGGCAGGAGGCATTATGTTTTGGGGTTGTCTGTCTGTTAGCCCATCTATCCCATTCTCAGGAACTCAAATTTGGCACAAACATCCGCTTGAACTCAAGAATGAACTGATTATATTTTCATGGTAAAAGATCAAAATCGATTTGACTTCGTCCTTCTTATACTTTTTACCACAATTTCTCAAGAATACTCCAAGAGATTTTCTTCAAATTTGGCACAAACATCCACTTGAACTCAAGGATGAACTGATTATATTTTCATGGTAAAAGGTTAAAATTGCTGTGACCTCATCCTCCTTACTCTTTTGAATACAATTTCTCAAGAGTAGGCCTACCCAAAGAGATTTTCTCCAATTTGGCACAAATGTCCACCTGGACTCAAGGATAAACTGATCAGACTTTGGTGGTAAAAGGTCAAGGACATTGTGAACTTGTGTCCATCTCAGTCTCGTGAATGCAATTCTTAAGAAAGCCTTAAGGGAATTTTCTCAAATTTGGTACAAGCATCCACCTGGATTCACCAAATGAACCGATTTGTTTACTTACTTTGATGGTCAAAGGTCAAAGGTGAAGATTATTGTGACCTCACAAAACACATTTTCGGCCATAACTTAAGAATTCATGCACTAATTATGACAGAATTTGATACAAATGTTTCACAGGATAAAATGCTGAAGTGAGACATCTTATATTCAAGAGGTCAAAGGTCAGCTTCACTGTGACATAATTACGTCCTGCTGCTCTGGCCATTATTCAGTATCATAATTTAGGAACAGAAGGGAAGACATTTGCTCAGAAACTGATGAGTGACACTAATCTTGGGTGTCCATCTTGAAATTGCTGATTGTACAGATCCTCTGTGCTGTCAGGTTGAAGATGTGTGTGAAGCATCCATGTTTTAGAACATGCAGCTTGCAGCAACATCCTTATTTAAAGTATTGTTAACTATTATGACTGCACATAACTGTGGCTAGACATGGTCGTAAACTGTAATTGTAGCTTGAGTGGTCGTCGTATAGAACATGAAACATACAGGTTACAAAACACAACACCACAAACTTGTTTAGCTTTAATAAATATTGAATCCCAACATATATTTTTGAATTAAAATAAAATCATATTCTACATACTACGATATGACACGTGTCTCACCTTACTGTTCTTTCCCATCACTAATATATTAAGTTACTACTCCTGTTTTAATGCATGATCTTAGAGCTCATCCCTATTGTCCTGTTAGTCAGTGTGGCATTTGAGCACGGCTGCTGCAAGCAACAGCTGTCAAAGCTCATTAGTTGGCTTATTTTACAGGGCCGAGCTATGCCGTCTCCTCTACGTCCCCGACTCCACAGTTAGGAACTAAACATTAGCTGGACTCCCTCGCTGACCTTTGCCCCGCCTCGTCAGCCGGTCAACATCTGATCTTTGAACCCTCACCCCGTCTGTCGTCTGCTGTTTTCCTTCCTCGTGCATTTTTTTTTTTTTTTACTTCTCACCCACATGTTAGAGCTCTGTAATTACAGCTGTCACTCACACATCCCTCCTCATCCACATCTTGTTTTCACTCTCTCTCCCTCTCCGTCTCTAAAAACCCACTCAGAGTCACGAACAGAGCAGATGAAGGGAAAAAAAACGGCCTTCTTAAAGTCATTTCCCAGTTTGCCTTGCTGAAGGTCAGGCTGGGAAAGAGCCAGCATCTCTGGTAATTGGGTCTGTGTGTATGTGTGTGTGTGTGTGTGTGTGTGTGTGTGTGTGTATGGGTAATTGAAAACGCTTTTCCCCCCTCTTAGCTCGGAGTCTAGCGATGCAAGATGATGATTAAAACTGGATGTTGTGTAATTTCGTCATTGTGCGGCTGTTTGTTTGCAGTCCTGTTACTCCCGCTCCGTTCTATCCGTCAGCGTCTCGCTCGCATCTTCGCTTGTTTGCAGCAGTTGTTCTTTTGATCGGCAATTAACATTTGCTGCATTTGATCGAAACAATTGCTGTCGGGATTAGAAACAGGGGACACTTACTTCCCACACTTTGAATCAATCTGCCTGAGGATTTTGGCAGGATAAATGACTCATATTACAGTCGTATTATTAGACAATCTTTGCTGTAACAATATTTTTTGACCACTTTTTGTGGTTTATTTCTGTGTTTCCTGGCTTGCTCTCTTACTTTTGTTGCATTTGTTGCTTTTGCACTTCTTTGTGGACCACTTTTTTTGGGTCAAGAATGTTACGTCTCATGAGATCCTTAGGCAACTGTATAAAAATGTGCATAGTCCATTTAGTTTATAGGAAGGTTTTAACATAACATACAACATTAAATTTGTTTTAATGAAGTCGAGAAGGTAGAAACTACTGCTGAAACACAGTTTGGAGCTCAGTCTGTTCATAAGCATACAGTTTAATATTAAAATATGTTCAGGGCAAAAAAAGGAAATACACATGAATAAATGTGGGTGAGTATAAATACACACACAGGGCAGTAATGAGGACCAGGGACAGACACCCGTGGGAGCTGGTTGCTCCACTGTGTTCAGGTTATATAGAGGCGGTGTTCTCCATTTTGGGGTTTCTGCTCGCCCTTGATGTGTTTCTCAGATTTTGCCCAGTTTTCTTAGCGGCGGTTTGGTGGAGGAAGAGGGAGGGATGGAGTGAGGAATGAACGCGGGTCGGGGGAGGACTCGAGGGGGGCATTGAATGAATCCCAGCCGGATCGTAATAGCGGGGTCGATGTTCTGGCCAATTTAGCCTGCTCTCTACCTCGGCCGTGCACAACACTCGGCTAACAATTACTGATAGAAAGAGACAGAAGGAGAGAGGGATGAAAGAGGAGTGGTGGAAGAGAGGGCGGGAGCATGCAGAGAGGAAAGGCGGAGGATGCGAGTGGAGTAAAAATGAGAAAGACAGATTAAAGAAGGGGGAGATGGAAGCGAGGGAGCGACAGGAACGGGAGAAATAAGGCCTGTAGCAAATTGCGAGGCCATAAATGAACGGAAAAGGAGAGGAGGGGAAAAGAAATCACTAACTTTCTTCAGGAGAAACTTTCTCCCTCTGGAATCCACCCGTAAGGAGTGTGAATTTTAAGGCCATGTTGAGCTAACGTTGTACGAAGGTTGTGTGAGCGTTGCGCTCCCGTCTCCCCCCGCCGCTCTCTCTCCTAGGATTAATTACCGGGTGTCAGTCACAGCTGATGGCTCTCCCACGCTCCCTTGCTCCCACTGGTGCATTCTGGGAGAGCGACAGGTATAGCCAAAGGTAGTTTGTGTATATGTGTGTGTGTGTATGTGTTTGTGTGTGTATGTGTGTGAAATGCAGGGGGGAATACTGACATATGGTGGAATGTGTTTAAGACTTTATACAGTCATAAAGTTAGAGAGCGCTGTTGCAACTTTTGTCATAGCAACAAACAAACAAAGTAATCTTCCTGAGGTGATTTTACACACACACACACACACACACACACACACACACACACACACACACACACATGCTGACACACTTATCTTAGTATATTATTGAGGACAATGCTGTTATGTAAAAAGAACACTTTAACACTTGTTTGCTTTCTTGCCAGGAGTTAGCTCAGTAGATCAATACAACTCTTATGTCTGTGTGCTAACTGTGAAGCTGGAGCCAGGAGACAGTGAGCTTAGCTGGTTAGGAAGAGAAGGGGAACAGCTAGCCTGGCTCCGTCTGAAGGAAGTAAAAATATGCCTCCAAAATTCCTCTAAAACTCACTAATTTACATGCGCCGTCTCTTTGTTGAAGCTGCACGAAAGTACAAGTGCAAAGTGTTTCTCTGTACTGTCAGTGTTTTGCTCAGGTAATCGTCTCCTGGCTCTATAGCTTCATATTTAGTGTACTGACATGTGAATGGTGTCAATTCTCTCATCAAATTCTCTTTTTTGTTGTCCTTTTTCCTCTTTATTCAATTTATGTATTTACAGACAGGGATCACCACTCCAAAACCAAGACAATGTGTAAGCAGACAAACAAAAAACGTAAACAAAACCAGAGCAAACTAACAAAAATCAAAAACAGATTTAGTCACCCAAGCCCCCACCCCGCACCTGCGCGTGTATCGTGTTACTCGGCAACATGACCATCAGACAGGAAGGAACATGGGCTGATAGACAAATAGACGAGATAGAAAAGGCGGATGAGACAGATGAGATTGGACGAGGCAGGAAGACAGACCAACAAACGGACATGAATAGACAGACAGACAAGCAGACACAGACAAACAGGCTACATGGATTTTATCATTTTACAAGTTTGAATGCACAACATGAATATTATTTGTTATACATATATAAATAAACAGAAACAAAGCATTCAACATACAAAGGTTTTGAATCAGGGTCATTGAATTCTCAGCGAGAAAGCAAGTAGGCCAGTTTCCCAACATGTCATGGTAACCGCCCTGACGAATGCCTACCTGCAAGAGCGTCCCCTAAAAAAGCAAAGCATTTTAAAAAGCGGTTGCTACGGTCACTAATGGCTGCGATGACAGAGAAGTGTGTGTCCAATAACACTGGCAGAAGGGCAAGCTAGCTTATAGCTGCAAACTGTGGCACGACAATGGAAATAACTGAAATTACCAGGGGTTTCTACATAGTTGGACAATTTACTAGTCAAATGAAATACTTGAAGTATTCAGACACCAATGTTATCAGCTCCTCCATCTTGTTTTATTTCTGTTTCCGTGATGCCAATTATTTGATTGGCCAAAGCAAGGCGACAACCACCAGAACCCAGCCAACATTTGTATGAAGGGCCCATGTGGGTAGTAAATGGGCCGTATGCGGGATTGTTCATGGGTTCCATGTTGACCCCATGCCAGTTGCCCACAAGGGTGGGTTTACCCAAGTGAGCCCCAGATACAGTGCCCATTTTGGGCCCGTACACAGTTGCTACCCGGGTAGCCCTAGCATAACACATGTGGAGCCCACTTGGGTAAACCCACCCATGGGTGCAATTGGCATGGGGCAATGTGGAACCCATGGACAATCCCATATAGGGCCCATTTTTCAGCCCATGTAGTACCCACATGGACCCTCCATACAAATGTTGGCTGGGAAGTTTAACGACACAGCAAAATCGCACGTTCGCATGGAGGGCAACAGCGTCATACCCCTACCATCGTGTTCGAAGCTGCTTCCCCTCTGCCACCTTCCCCTCATATAAATGACCAGAGGCGGCCAGTGAACACACAGCAGTGTGAATTAACAAATCTCTTCAATCGGGCGGACATTTTCATCTTTTTATCTTTGCGAGAAAAGAACAGAAGAACAAAAGCACACACATTCTCGGACACTGACTGGAAGCATTTATATTACCTTTGTCCTGTTAAGTTTATGGCTCCATGAGTCCAGATAACAGCCAGGTAATAGCTTTATGTTGCATCTCAGACAGCGCATTATTGAGTGTTGAATGGGAGTCGAGGTTGGTTCAACCTAGCGCACTGACAAAGGCACTATTATAATGACGGTTGGGTGTAGGCACCTTAATTTAGAAACCCCATCTGTAACTTGTTCTCATTGTCTCAGAAGCAAACGGAGTGAATGAGGTGAAAGAGCGAGGGAGGAAAAGTGGGTGTAGGGGAAAAAAAGCGGGGGAAAGGAGGGGAGACAGAGCTTTATCATCATTTTTAATGAGAATTTATTAATAGGTTCTCATCGAAGGCTGCGGATGGTAAGAGGAAGTCAAGTGATGCTACACACTCTGCATCCTTTAATCTCCCTGCTAGTGTTGTTAGTGACACTTCAGGTCATTTTCAGTTAAACAGACACTCCTCCACCATCCATTTCTGTCCCCTCTCTCCCTCCATCCATCCAGACCTGCTCCTTCCATACTAATCAGTGACTTTGTGCTTCCTGGATGAACAGACGGTGTTTGTCTTCTCCTCCTGTCCTTCTCCATCTCCCTCCTCACAGCCTCAGCTTCCCGTCAGCATTCTCCCCACTATCTGCCAGACTAATGCCGACACACGCGAGTCCAGTCCGTACACATTCAGCATGAGCGCTCTGTAAAGACGCATGCATCATGGATAAAATTGTACTTCCACGTCTCCATTAATGCGCCAACAAAAGCGCACTTATTCCTCCCTGGGCGACCACGTGCACACACTCCCACACACTGTCCCCTCCGCTGCTCTCTGTGTCTCTGTGAAATCACTCATTGCCACTCGGCTCCTCCAAAAATAACACTGATAATTAATTTCCGTTGTGAAATGATTCGTCTGTGGACTGACTAGCTTTCATATTTCACCCTGCATCGATCCCCCCAGCCCGCTCGTGTGCGCTTCATTAGTCAGTGAGAGAGAGAGCGGGGGAGACAGGGAAAACAGAGGCAGAGGGAGAAAGGGGGGAGAGTTAAGTCAATTACCGTCGCTTATGTTTGAAAGCAATGCAAAAAAACACATTAATTACAATAGAGCTGACATGTAAATTGAAACTGATGAGCAGGGGAGTTTGTGTCGCATATCTGTGGCGCTGTTCTTCATATAAAACTGCAGCAGTACATCAAAGCAGGAACTTAATAACAGGGTCCAAAGAAAACTTTGTCTAAAGTTATTGAGTGGGTGCCATAAAGCCCCACTGTTAGCAGCGGGCTCGGGCGCTCTGCCACCTCCAGCTGATTCGACATATGAATGGGAAAGAAAGCTGCGGGCCTATTGGATTTCAGTTAACGTGCTGAATTAACTGAGGTGAAATTGGATCCTCCCTTGCTGTAATGGACAAGACATTAAAAGGGAATTCAAGAAGCCTCAGCTCTCAATAAAGGGACAACCCAGTCAATTACACATTTACATCATTCTTATATGTATGCGTGGAAAGAATCAGTTCCCCGACTGAGCAGAGTTTCTTTGCAGTATTCACCAAATGCTTTTTGTTAATATTACGACCATTAATGTGTTCTTTATTGTTTAATGTGATCACAGAAATAAATGTCTCCCACTCTCTGCTACTATAATAGATATTAGTGTAACTCTGTACCTGCTCAGCATTTCCATCCTCTGCTGCTAACATCATCAACTCTTCCTTCTTTCTTCCTCTTCCACAGGCCCTCCGTCGGCACCCGCTAACCTCATCTCAAAAGTGAACGAGACCTCGGTAAACCTGGAGTGGAGCGCTCCACGGAGCTCAGGAGGACGCCAGGACTTGACGTACAACGTGGTGTGTAAGCGCTGTGGGCCCGACGGCCGGCGCTGTCAGCCCTGCGGTAACGGCATCCATTTCAGCCCCCAGCAGCTGAGCCTGAAGGGAACCAGGGTGTCCATTAACGAGCTGCAGGCCCACACCAACTACACCTTCGAGGTGTGGGCGGTGAACGGAGTCTCGCCTCAGAGCCCCGGGCCGGAACAGGCCGTGTCCGTGACCGTCACCACCAACCAGGCCGGTAAGACGCCCAGTGTTTGAGTGCTGTAGGTTGTGTTCGTGGCAAGGAAATGATAGTGGAAAAAGTTCCAACAGCTAAAGAAAGTCAAAGATTTTGTGACAGACTGCCAGTAGCCATCAGGATCAATACATTTTGCCCTGAAGTGCAGCTTTAGTTAGTTGATATTTATGCAATAATCCAAGAGCTAATCAAAGAAGGTTAATGGCCTCCCAAGAGTGACCAGTGTAGCATTGATTAATCCAAGGATAAGTAAGTGTTATGTCAATCTGAGTAAGAGGGGGCAACACTGATTGGCCCAATATATTGACATAGCGATATATTTTTAAACCCTGCTGAACATATGCAAGATTTATGGATATGGCTTTATATCAGGCCAACAATTACCGTACAATTACAGTTATGTAAAATGTTATAACTAACTAAACATAACTGCCCCTTTACTGGGACACATCAACATTTCAGTCAGCGTTAGCGCACAAGCTATATCACACTATAATGACCATGGTTACCTGTCGCTAAAGATGTTAGTTAACTCCTGTAAGTGAAACAAACCCAAGCAAATTTGAATTGAACGTTCTTGACAATAGAAACAACAGCTGACGAATACAAGTTCCACCCAGTAGCTGTGTTGGAGCTGTTGTTTGTAAAATCTTCCCTGATTTATGATCGGGCGCTCTACGCTGTTGATGAATGTCGCTCGACAGAATTTATAGAGTCACGCAATGGTTTTAATTCATGCTTTGGCGAGAGGTTCCAGTCGTCTTCACGCTAACCAAACACTTACCTCCAGTTGGCTTGTTTGGTTTCAGTATATCATTCTAATCGGAGCATATATCCTTCTGACAGCTGTTTGTTTTGTATTTGTATCCCTTTGCATTTTGATAATGGAAGGATTTGATGAAATCAGTGAGTAAATTGAAGTTTTTAAACCTACTTGTGCTGGGAAGACAACGGGAGCGCAAGAAAAGGAAGTGGTCAATGCATCCATTGAACCAAACAAGGGAGCTACAGGGTTAATATATTTTGGTCCAACAAATGTGGGACATGGAGGAGGAGATGCAATTTTGGTATTTTCAAATGTCTAGACGTTATGTAGAGTTACAAGGTCCCCTCATAACAGTTCGGATGATATCTAACAAGTTAGCGCCCCGTGAATGAGGTTACGTACCTCACGAAAGGTTACATTTTTAACGTAACGTTACGTAGGTTAGGTTTAGGCAAGTAATGAAACCTTTTGGTAAGATTAAGGAAAAGAAACATGGTAATAACGTACCTTAAAATGACTCCAAGTTCACTTGGTTGCACACCTTTTCGAACAACCTGCTTCCTTACACACACTGCTTTCTTCTTTATTTTCGTAAGCACGCTGGTCACGTGATCGCGGCCTTCCCAAATACGTGGCTTATACAAAAATTTCTGGCTCATAATTAAAAGGAATATGTACAAATTTTGATGCATTACTTAACCTAGGTATACGTACAAACAGTGCATGATAACAGCCTGAAAGTTACTGCAGGTGCTCAACATGAAAGCAACATGTCAAGCAACACTTTTTTCTATGTAAAGTATGTCATGTCTTTTGGGTGATTAAAAGTGTTGAGCTCCGTGCCGTATATCAGGCTTTACTTGACTTAATTATTGACATCTCCCATGATTTACTTGCTACTCCAAGTTAGTTTCTTGACTTGTCTGTGTGAGGATGCAATGAGAAGTGTATGTTGGTTGCTGTGTGTGTGGGGGGCTTATATTTGATGCAGAGCACAGGTTCGTTACACTGAGCGCTTGAAGTACTTTTTTGGGGGCAATGTGCGTGCCACAACATGTTTATTAAAGCTGTAAATAATTTGGGTTAAGGCTGGATGATTACCGAGGAGGATGATGGATTCTCTGCAGTGGCAAATTATTTTCTGCAATATTTCACTTGAGTTTTTGCATAATTAGGCATGAGAAGCCTAGGCTGAAGATAGGGGCAACGTGCTATATTTAGCTCGCGAGCTAATGAATTAGATGAGTTGTATCGATCTGTGGAGGCTTCATTACAAATGCTGTTGGATTGTGTGTGTGTGTGTGTGTGTGTGTGTGTGTAATTATTCTAGTAGAAAACATGAATACAGCCTCTCCTCCAGAGCTGGAGAAGAGCCCTCTAGCCTGGGGGTGCGTTCAAAGCCTCCCGTTGTTTTGTCATTTAGCCATTTTGTAACTGGTTGTTGTGCAAATGGATTTTACGACCCTGGCCCTTTCTCTTTATCCCCTCCCAGCTTTCCTCTACTTATAGCCGATCATTACCTAGGTCTTCTTTACTGCTCTGCTCTTGGGTGGCAAGCTAAGTGCCTTTTTGTGTTGTCTTTTTATCGCTAATTTCCATCCTTGGGAAAAGAGAATATCTTGAATAGGGCTCGGACTGGCAATCTAAGGACACAGTGACTTGATTTATCAGCTGGGGTCAGGAAGATAGAGATGAATGGATGTGCTGCCTGTGGGAGAGCTACGAGTCCTGCCAGACAGGCATGTGTGGGAGCTGTAATGGAGCACACTCTGGAGTCCAGGCCGAGGGCTCGTGACAGCATGTCGGCATGGTCGCACGGACGCAGAGTTGCGCAAAAACTCCAAAGTGCACACTCTCACACTTGGATTCAAACAAAGACATAACACACACACACACGCAGTGATGTCCCCCTGAGGTTGCTCGAGGCTAATCTGCTGACTTCAAGTTGTAAGATATAGATGATGTTGCCTTTGGCTCGTCACTGGTGCATGTTTCACAACTGTTCCCCAGGATTAGCTATATGAAGCTTGCAGCTGGAAGCTCTATTATGGTGTGTGTGTGTGTGTGTGTGTGTGTGTGTGTGTGTGTGTTTGGACATGTGCAGAACTGACTGCATGCTTTGCCAAAAGTGAGAAAATGTGTTACGCAGAATGTTTGTACGCTCGTGGATGGAGATGATCTACATTTGCCTCTCAAACAATGTCCTCTATGTGTCTCCGAGCGTGCATGTCTCTTCTAATTTGTGTGCGTTTGTGTGTGTGTGTGTGTGTTAAAGAGAATAGCTCCAGACTGATTGGATTTCTTCCTGCTAATGCTCGGTAGGGGCTTTGGAAGCTCTGGTTTCAGCCGCTGGTAATCCAGCCAGTCATCTGTGGCTGTCCCTCTCTCTGTATCGCCTCCCCTCATCCAGACACCGTGGATTACACATTTATTATGATAGCTTTATTAGGATTTATAAGTGCTGTGGAAAAGACACCCCTGCCACCGCCTTTTCCATAAAAGTTCACATTTCGGCTAGAGAGGAAGAAGTGAGGCAGGCAGGTTGGACGGGAGGAGCGCTTATGTATTTTTGCGTGAGAGGAAAATGGATGAAGGTGCGGCGGAGAAATATGCCGCGAGTCAAAAATTAAGACATGAGTGTTTGCTGATTGCTTGTGCATGCATCTGTGACCAGGCGTGTGTGCGTACGGAGAGGTCAGATTCCGCGTCTCGCCATGAACAATTCCACTGTCGTAAATCAGCCGGGGTGTAACCCTTTCACCCGGACTGCATGAGGAAAGGGAGGGGAGAGAAGGGGGGACGTCCAAGCTTTGAACTGACCCCTGGCTGTAAATGGATGTTTTTTCCCCTTTATGGGATCAAGCACTTTGTGCATGTGTGTATGTGTGAGAAAGAGGGAAAGAGAGAGTCAGAGAGAGAGGTGTTTACGTCTCGATACAAAATACTTGGCAGGCTTAGGTGACTAAAAGTGAATTAGTGCATGAGAGTGAGTGTGTGTGGGCATGTCTGTCAGCGCACATGTGTGTGAGTTTCCATCTCTCTGGCAAAATCGGACAGACGTACATGTGGAAATGTGTTCGGGGAGATGGAAGCGGGCTTCACAGGCGGGGGGGAAGGATCTTGTACGCAGGAGCCATTTTCTCGACACCCTGAAAAACGGCTCCCTCCGCGGCTATTTTTCCTTGGCGGCAGCAAAATCGAGTGACTCCAATCTGGCAACCAGTCTCCAATCTGGCAACCACATGTGCACCCCGGCCCCTGTCTCTTTTAATGTCAAACTGTAATCGACCGCATATTCTTGCAACTGCTCGCGCCGACCACAGCTGCTCCTCGCAACACAAATACTTTGTGATGAACACGCTGGCGAAGACAAACTCGCTCACTTGACAAACTGTGTCCCATGCAGAGGGAAAACCTCACAAATGTCTGCAAAAAAAGACACGCAGCCTCCACCATTGTCCCCGTGGAGTGATTTTCCAAACCAAACCCAGAACTCTATGTGCCCCTGCCAGGTTTTTACTCATTATAGTGTATGCATAGGTGGCATGATTGAGTTTTTTGCTGTCTGTGTGAGATAATGGGACTAGGTGTGTGTTTTTCTAAGTGAATTTCTATCTTTCTGTTGGTGTAATGAGGTCCTTTGTGTGTGTGTGTGTGTGTGTGTGTGTGTGTGTGTGTGTGTGTGTGTGTTCTGTACGTGTGTGTGTGTACAAGTGTCGCAGGCTGTGAAAGAGTTTTTTTGGAAGGCACGATTCTGAAATGAGATCTGAATATTCATTGCGTCTAACACTTATTATTCCGCCAGCATTTTTAGCCCACGCGTTCAGGAGGCAGTAAGAAATTACAGATCTGCCCCACATATTTAAATTCATCTACAGAGGTGCCAGCTAGTCTAGCGTGGTCTGCCCATGTCGCAGCCTCAGGTTAAACTTTTCTCTGTTCAGGATAGACATGTCAGGTTTAGTCTTGCATCGGCTCTGTACACTTTGTACAAGCAGGGTTTGACAATATTTTGCATCTCTCTCTCTCAGCCTGCTTTTTCGGCATTCCACTGACTAATTTATCTTTAAAAGAAAGAAAAAAGACTTGGCCTTGATGGATCACCTATCTTGAGTCTGGCTGTTTTTAACCTTGCAGTCTCACGTAGGGAATCTCAGAAGGGACCACTCAGAAAATCACTCATCTTTATCCTCACATTAGTCGGGGGAAAAATAAAAACGCAACAAGAGGAGGCGAATGCGATTAAACTACCATATCTGTCATCTTTGGAGGAAAGATGGATGTGTGGATTACCTTGGGGGCACGGAGGCCGGCGACCCCTCAGGGGTTTTCTTTCCGAGCCAGAGCGTCCCCGCTCGGCCCCAGGAGGGCCTTCAAATTGGCTCTCGCTGCCGGGTAAGATTGATCGGAGGGATACAAATGGCCGCCATCTAATTGTTTAACGGAGACGCAACACATTAGGCCAACAGGATTACACAACCTTGGGTTAATCTATTTACCAAGAGATGTCTGCAATCCCATCCCTCTCCATCTCCATCAAGACCCCCACCAGTCACAAACCCTCCGCCCTCCCTCCGACTGCTCACCCCGCTGAAACTCTATCCGAGGCTGGTGCTTGAATTCCAGGCCCGTTTGAACTCAATCTCCGGCTAAAAGCAAGGTTTTGTTAGCCTTAGCTCGAAGGCTACGCTCCCTGGAGCCCCTGGTCAAAGTGATGAGAATGTCTATAATGTCATAGATAATCCAATCATAATCGGTGGACCGCGAACCCCTCATTAATCATCCCACTGTAATTTTTTAAAAGGCAGATGGTCTGGAACGAGTAAGGTTACAGTATCACTGAGGACCAGAGGTCAAAGATTCACTCCTTGTGAACTTGTAAGAGCAGACGCCACAGTGAAATGCTACCTGGGCATCAGAGGAAATGTGTTGTGTGCGTGTGTGTGTGTTGCTTTGTTCTGGCTCTGAGATGAATAGATGTGTGAGGTTGTTTGGTTGTCAAGGGTGCTTGTGTGAATGTTGGTTTAAGCTCTGCAGATGCTAGAACCCCCAAACTGCCAAAGTGCGTATACATGTTTGTGTTCTAGGTCTTTTTATACCTTGAGTTGTGTGTTCATCCATGTCTCCTATTGTTCCTTGGTCTGTAACTCCACCTGCTCGAGAACATATCCTCCCGTGTGCTCAAAACTCAATCTGTACATGAGTGTTTTGCTGTTTACAACACTATCTCTTTTATGCCGATGGATTTCTCTTTGTAGCGTCAAGAGTGTGTATGACCCAATTTTAGCATTGTCACACTCCCCGAAGATAGAGGTTTGATTTGTGCAGCGGTGACACACTGGAGGGAGGGGATGAGTGTAAGCCATTATCTGTGCTTTAACCTTCACATGTTAAAGGCGTCTGAACGCAGATAGCACGGCTGCTTGAAATATGGCCTCATTATCAGCTGCAGCAGAAAGGGCTTGAGATAAGATCGCTCACTGGAGCTTTAATGAAAACCAATTGATTTGCTCTATTGAAGACAAAAAAAAAAGAAAGAAGCAAAGGCGTTGAGCTCATTCTGAGCTTTCCGAGACGGACTTACTAGCAGTGGGAGGTTTCCCAGGGTGACCTGGGTATCCGCAGAAAATGAAGTTAGGCATTATTTTGCCAGCTTGTAGGAAAAGTGGCTGAGACGCTAGCATCAGCCGAGGGGAAATTGGATCAGTTTTATTGATGCCAACCATTAGTTCAGAAGAAGAGTATTGCCATACACTCTAGCTTTGGCAATTCAGCTGTGTAGCCATACAGCTCTGTAACGCCTCTGATTTTGAACGGAGGCCAAATTCAAAGACAAATGGAAGTGATTGCCTTGTGGCCTGGCCCGCTGTTTGACTTTCTCAGCAGGAGCAAAGAGTGGGGGATTCAGGAGAGCAACATAAAACAGACTTGATGTCTCCAAGGCTGAAAAAACATGGAGGACTGGGAGAAAGCAGTGGGCTAAAATTGTTCTCTCTTTTTTTTCTGTCCTCTCTTTGATCATCTCACCAGCTCCCTCTCCAGTGACTTCCATCCAGGCGAAGGATATCACGAGACACACCATCTCGCTGGCCTGGCAGCCACCGGATAGAGCCAACGGGGTCATCCTGGAGTATGAGGTCAAGTACTATGAGAAGGTGAGGGGTCCCATGGGTGATGTAGTCTGCTGATGAATCTCCAAAATAGCAATGTTTCAGCAGGCTGTAGGAAAACCACATCTGCTTGTTCTCTCTTCCTTTCTCTGTCTCACCATAATCTGTCATCCCTCAGGACCAAAATGAAAGAAGCTACAGAATCATAAAAACCTCATCGAGGAACACTGACATCAAGGGTCTCACCCCCCTCACCTCCTATGTCTTCCACGTGCGTGCTCGCACGGCAGCCGGCTATGGAGAATTCAGCGGCCCGTTTGAGTTCATGACTAACTCCGGTGAGTTCAGCGTGCTTTGATGATATCAGTGCTCTGCAGGGCCAGAGAGGCTCGATGCCAGCTCTGTCACAGCCAGCTTCTGCGTAATCCTGTAATGATAGCATCCTTTACGAGTTTGTCTCTTTCATTGTGGAGTCATTAATCAAAATAGCTGTCGTCTATAAAAGATAAACCATATTGTGCTCCAGCATCTGACTGGCAACTTGAGTAGTTTCCATTATTCACGTTGCAATGAGCCTCAGTGGATGCGCCAGCCAGGGTTCAACCTATGTGTTTTTAAAGAATGATACAATTTCTGATATTCTTAGTTGGCAACTGCTGATAGCTACTTTTTGCTTCTTGCTTGTAGCTTTAAATGTTATTATTTTAAAGCAAAAGAATGAGTACTTACACCAGAAACCTAAAGATAACAACAGTAACAGTGCCAACCAAAACACACAGGATTTAATATAAATTCTATTGGAGATGCCAAAGTTTCCAAATGTTTCCTTTCAACACAATGGAGCAGCCCACAAACAACACAACATCTTGGGACAGGCTCAGATACAATATATAGATAATGCTATCAGATTGTAGGGCCGAGCGATTAATCAAATTTTGTTTTGAATTACAATTTGGCTACAACAAATATTAAAACAAGTTACTTGAGATGAAACAATTATTGTGCCGGTTCTGTCTTTGTCTTGTGTTGTAAATCCATTACAGCAGTGGCCTCAGTGTTGCCAACTTTGTGACTTTGTTGCTCGATTTAGCAACTTTTCAGACCCTCTAGCTGCTCCATTTCTGAAAATAATCCACTGTGTCATGGCCACTGCAGGTGCAGCCTGTTGAGCTCTCATTAGATTACGTGGTGGAGCTCTCAGGATGGCTGCTGACTATTAATTTACCATGGCATCACCCAATTATGTGGATTATTATTATAATAGGTCATAGCCTTATGATGGAGAGTTACATTGTTGATATTCATATTATTTATTTTTCTTAATGCATATAAATGAGTGCTTTAACTGCTACAATACGAATAAGGGCTGATGAGACACCTACTGTTGAATTTTTTTTTAATGTTCAAGAAAATCCACTGTTAAAAAGACATGTTTTTTATGTTTAATGTATCGTGGTCCCATTATTGACCAAGTAATCTTGATTATGATTTTTACCATAATCAAGCAGCCTTATCAGACAGTGTAGCATAACGTGATTTAACAACTTTAAAGCTACTTAAGGGGAAAGAAAGGAAAACTGAATGCTAAGGAGTAAATGCAGGTAAAGAGCCTCAACAATTCATCAGTTCATTAATAACATGTAATCAAACAAGCCTAAGCTTCACAGTTTTACTTGATTTTTTACAGTAAATAAATAAACAAATACTGTGTGATATGAACCGCTCCTGGGAGATGATGACACAGACGGCTGCAGAGGTGCACTATAAGCCCAGGTGTCCCCTTTGTAATGCAGATGGAGACAGCAGCGCATGATAATGACATGGTCAAGCACACATCCTAATGGGCCGTCATTGTCTCAGTGGAAAAGGAAGAGACACACAGGGAGGAAGTGTGAGGGGGGTCAGTGACTCGGACAAACACAGAGTGTATACGGGCTCTTTCATGTGCGGCGACTCGACTCAGCGTGGGGATATTGACTTTGCCCTTTGTCTTTGTCCACCCGTCCTCTCTTTCTCTTTTCTTTTCTCCCATCTTTTCCCCCTTTTTCCTCAGTTCCAGCTCCCATTATTGGCGATGGGGCCAATTCCACAGTGTTGCTGGTGTCAGTGGTGGGCAGCGTGGTCCTCCTCATCATCCTCATCAGCGCTTTCGTCATCAGCCGAAGGTGAGCGTCGTCCTTCTGTTCTGTCCCTTCTGCTTCCTGTCTGTCCCTCTTTCCTCCCAGATGAGGGATGTCTTGCTTATGGCGGGGGAAAAGTAGCTGTCAGGAGATGGACGCCACTTGAAAAAAACACACAAACACACATGCGCCAAGCCAGACAGCCAGTGCAACTCGCTAACGTCGGATGAGTGATGACTCGCCACACCGGAGACGTGATTGACAGCCTCGACAGCTGAAGAGATGCAATCAGCGACCCCTCGCTCCCTGTCCTCTGCATCCATCCTCCCATCCTTCTCCCTCTATCTCTCAGCTATTGGCTGTAATCCCGCCCGCTAGTTATTTTCTCCTGCTGCGCCTTGCTGACCGCCGTGCAGAGAATGAGAGAGACAGAGAGAAGAGGAGGAAAAAAGAGAGAGGGAGCGGGATAGGAGGGTGGACAATGAGATAAGCGGGCAGTGAAAAGTAGGAGATAGAATACAGACAGAGTGAGACTGAGAGGCATCAGGTGGATTTGCAGTGACCCAATCTCAGGGTGTTAACCAGCGAGCAGGACAAAGCGCCGTCACACAGATGGGATTACATGCAGATGGGGCTGCCTCACCTCAGGGTGTTAACCACACACCCCCCTATGTGTGTGTGTGTGTGTGTGTGTGGCGGGGACGTATATGCGTGTGCACGTCCTTCTGTGGAAAAAAAGTATTGTTTTCATGTGTGTGGTGGCACTGGGGGAAGGGGGATGTTAATGGTATGTGTGTGTGTACCTTTTATGGGCATGTGATGATCCCTTTATGTGTGAGTGTGCCTCTTTATATGGAAAGCAAATCATTGTTTGCATGTGTGTACTGGTGTTGAGAATGATGGGGACTGAAGGGGGATGTTGATTGTGTATGTGTGTATATGTGTGTGTGTGTGTGTGTGTGTGTGTGTCCTCTCTTTTCCGTGTGATTGCCTCTCTCCCCAGCCAAGCAGGTGGTTGTCTCAGCCTTTTTTATATGCATGTGACGGCCACTGTCATTGTGCTGCTGCGGCCATCCTGTGATTGTAGGGAGGGACTGTAATCACGTAGCCGTTTACCATCATTACACAACCATAGAGGAGGACAATGTCTCGCACATCTGGTCATTTCCACCACTGACCCAACACATCAATATAAGCACAGGTGTCAGGCTGCCTGAGGGATTCGAAAGGGATTTAAGTGCATCTTCTCCCAGATTGATTTGCTGCTATATGCTCAGTCAGTGCCCTTCAGAAACCTTCAGTGCTGCAGGACACTTTTGGCTCAAAGCAATAATACCACAATGTAAAAAACACCCCATTACAATTAAAGTCATTCAGTTTATTTAAATAAATGTACACAATCATCAGAATGTACTCTTTCCTGGTTGTAGCTTCATATTTAACATATCCTCATACAATGGCTTGTGTGCTGTTTAACAAATTAGCACTCCAAATATGCCACTAAATACTTAACGTGAAGTTGTGAAGGTTAGGTCTAGAAAAAAAAAACATGTTTGGGCATCTTTAGTTTTAGTTAGTTAGGTTTATACAAGTTACCCTGGCTGGGTATAGGCAAGTAATTTACATAGGTTAAGTTTAGGCAAGTAAAGTTACGCAGGTTAGGTTTAGACAAGTAACTTATGTAGATTAGCTTTAGGCAAGTAATTTACATAGGTTAGATTAGGCAAGTGAAGTGATGTAGATTAGGATTAGGCAAAGAATTTATGTAGATTAGCTTTAGGCAAGTAATTTACATAGGTTTGGATTAGACAAGTAAAGTCACCTGGGTTAGGTTTAGGCAAGTAACTTATGTAGGTTAGGTTTAGGCAAGTAAATCTATGTAGGTTAGGTTCAGGCAAATGAAGTTAGATTTAGGCGAGTACTTTACATTGGCCAGGTTTAGGCAAGTAAAGTTTTGAGGGTTAGGGTTAGGCAAGTAAAGTTGCATAGGTTAGGTTAGGCAAGTAAAGTAATATAGGTTAGGTTTAGACAGGTAAAGTTATGAGTGGTTTGGGCAAGTAACTTACGTAGGTTAGGTTTATGCAAGTAAAGTTACATAGGTTTGTATTAGGCAAGTAACATAC